TGTGATTCATCACAAAGTAATGATTCATCAAAAAGTAGTGATTTATCACAAAGTAGTGGTTCATCACCAAGTAGTTCTGATGTCGATGCCGGTGAGAAATATGTTTCATTGAATTAATTTTTGCATTAATAAATGTTACTATTTTTTTTTAACAATTTCTTATTAAATATAAAACATACACTAATTTAGAATCTAATAAAACCAATGACGAAAAAATTTGGAATAAGGTGTATGAGATGTTTGAACAACTTTCTACCGAATATCTTGAGATGTTTGATAACAATCCTGGTTAGTGTTCTAAGAACTATTGTTAATAGTGAATGATTTTTAACGGATATTTCTTAACGGATATTTCTTCTATATAGACAAAATAGTTCATTTAATCAAAACCGTTGCTACTCATAGAAAAAAAGTTTCCAGTTCAGAGACAAATGGACAGTGAATTTTATTAGAACCTGATATATATATATATATATATAATGTCAGTTACATACTGTAATATTTTGCCGATTAACATATTTTACTTCCTATATTTTCATATTGACTTAAAAAATAAATTTAACTTTGAAATATGAGTCTCGCCGTTCTGCGATTTATGTCAGGGTTGGGCAATCTATATATCCAGTGCTTTTTCATTGGACTCTGGGCGTTTCGGAGTTGTTCAATGCATGTCCAGTGGCAAATATATATTTAAAAATCAACTAAATAAACCATTGTAAACCTAGCGCGCCCTCCCAAAGTACTGTTTATCGGACCAGATTTATGATACACATAAAAAATATTAACATTAATGCAATTCTATTTAATAAAATTAATTCCGTCTAAATTTATTTTTCGAATTGAACTAGTGTCGTATATCTGGTTAGGTGCTAACACCTTTGGAATCGCCATAGCTAATTCATTGATCGTGATAGAATTGAGAAATTACAATGTGAATAATATAAATGGTGCAATAGTACTGGCAAAACTTCAAAATGCGGATATTGACAATTAAGGCCGTTCGAAGTTAATTCTTCGGTTAACATCACCCCCGGTTGAAGTCTCCCCCCGAAAAATGAACAACCAATAAAAACGCTGGATAACTCTCGCCGATCACTTGATTTACATCGACCAATGAAATTGGCCCATATTCGTTCATTTTTATATGTTCGTTTTATTTTACCCAAGTGATGTTAACCAGAAGAATCAACTTATTCGAAATTAAGTTTCGGTTAATATCACTTTCCCCCTCCCTTCGATGGTCCCCCGTTAAAATAAAATATAAAAAAAATATAAAATATGAAAAAAAAAAATTAAAAATTAAAATATAAAAAAAAATAAAAATAATAAAGGCTTGTTATTCGTACCCCTGTAGATCAAATTCTTTAAGCGAAGATATCTCGACAACCACCAAGACAAATTTGATGAATTTTTTTTATTTGAATTCTACAGCTTTGTAGAATTAAATAAAAAAAAACTCATCGATTTTGGCTTGGTGGTTGTCGAGATATCTTCTCTCACAGTTAAAGAAAAATTTTGGCGCAGCTTTTATTTTGATAGACGTTTTGAGTTTTTTAAAACTTTAAAAAATTTTTTTAAATTAAAGTTTAATAAAAATCTCTTGAACGAAGATATCTCAACAATCACCAAGCCAAATTCGATGGCTTTTTTTATTTGAATTCTATAAAGCTTTAGAATTCAAATAAAAAAAATTCATCAAATATGGCTTGATGATTATCGAGATATCTTCGCTCAAAGTTTTAAAAAACTCAAAACGTCTATCAAAATAAAAGCTGCGCCAAAATTTTTCTTTAACTTTGAGCGATGATATCTTGACAACTATCAAGCTAAAATCGATTGATTTTTTTTTTATTTTAATTCTACAAAGCTGTAGAATTCAAATAAAAAAAAAACTCATCAAATTTGGCTTGATGGTTGTCAAGATATCATCACTCAAAGTTGAAGAAAAATTTTGGCACAGCTTTTATTTTGATAGATGTTTTGAGTTTTTTAAAACTTTGAGCGAAGAAATCTCAACATCAATCAAGCCAAATTTGATGAATTTTTTTATTTGAATTGTACAAAGTTGTAGAATTCAAATAAAAAAAAAATCATCGAATTTGGCTTGGTAGTTGTTGAGATATCATTGTTCAAAGTTTTAAAAAACTCAAAATATCTATCAAAATAAAAGCTGCACCAAATTTTTTCTTTAACTTTGAGTGAAGATATCTTGACAACTACCAAGCTAAAATCAATGTATTTTTTTTATTTGAATTCTACAGCTTTGTAGAATTCAAATAAAAAAAAATTCATCAAATTTGTCATGGTGCTATCAAAATATTTTTGCTCAAAGTTAAAGAAAAATTTGATCTACAGGGTAATGTTGCGAGTGAAACCTAAATATTTAGCCCAATCCAAATCTGAAATATGGGCAATATTAGTTTTGCCCAACAATAAATTTCTGAAATTTCTGATAAAATCTGTAATTGCCCAAAATCTGAACTCAATCCATGATATTCAGAACTATCTGAAACTGTATTAAATATGTGAATCTAAATCTTAACAATAATATTTTTTATGAGCATTCTTGTGGTGTTAACATATGTGGAGTTTATGTAGTTTATGAATGATTTTTTTATTTATGAGTCATACCTTACATCACTTCAGAGGTTTTGTTAGATCAAAAATTTATGCCAACTGCCCATATTTATAGATTTGGTATCATTATCTAGATTTTTTTCTGAGACTCATGTTCTTATGAATTTGCATGTAGTTAAGGTCTTTTAATTTTTAAGGCTTCTTGAAAGTGTATTTACTTGTTCAGATAATTTCAAGTTTATTAATTAACATTTGACTTAGTTAAATCATAATGTATTATAAACCTATTTTGAGTAAGCCTATTGGTAATGGTAACTTACTATGTATAAGAGTAAAGTGTATCTGTACTAGTCTATATACTAATCCATTATCTATTTTAGAATTTGAAAATTAGTATGTCTTAGTGATGGACTTATAAGACTTATATTTCTTCTTGAAAAAAATTTGACAGCTTTGTATTTCTCAATAATAAACAATATATGGCTATTTAGATTAATTAGGTCTGGTAGAATTGTGAATTTATCTTTAGCAAACATTAACTATAAATTAACTTGAACCTAACCTAAATCAGAACAACTTTTTCAGCAAAATTGTTGAGTTTGATCAACTCTATATACAATAATTTGCTATTAAAGGCAGCAAAATATAAAATTCTGTTAGAATAGTTCTTAATAATCAATTTATCAAAAACAGCTAAGAATAGAAATATAATAGAATAATTTATCATTATATTATTATTATTATCAAATATAAAATTACATACATATGTAAAAAAATAGGATCTATGCTAAATTTGTAAATCTTAGATCTTATACTAAGTCTAAAATTATAAAATATGATATCAGAAGCCTGCTCTAATTATTAACAGAAAAACTAAAAAAGAGAATATATTGTTAATAACTACATATTTCTACATTAAACAATTCATTTTTTTAACATACTATAAAATATGTTTGTGAATTTTGTTAGTACTATATACTTTCTGCTTAACTCAAGTTAGCTCAGTGCTATATAAAATGTTTTCAATTTTATAGAACTATAAAAACTTTTTTGCTTAAATATGAAAGCATTATTTAACTGTATTAATATACCAATAAATATCAGAGATGATATTGAAATCTAATAAATAAAAGAACTGCAGAATTACAGTCTGATTTGAAATATATTAAATTTATCTAACTATAATTTATACTCTTTTATTATGAACTCTATTCCTAAATTGTAACCTAACTCTAAACAAATAAGTTCAAATTTTAGCATTATCTTGACAATAATATGCAAATAAATCTGTAAATTACAAAATTTGTGATATACTATAAATTATTAGATTCAATCAGTCAAATCTTATAAAGAATATATTTGTATTATTCTATAATAAAAAAAACTTAATATACTTTCTGAAATATTCTGATATTCTTTATATTTTGGTTAAATAAATATTAATTTTAAATTAGAGTCATTAGTGCAAAACAAAAATTTAACTTTGTATAACCTTGTCGCTATAGAAGTTAATTTGTTAATAATCATATGCATATCAAAAACTAGTTAATTAGGCTATCAGAAATATCAGATTTTATCAGATTTATATTAGATTTTTATTCTGATGTCATTTTAATTTTTGATTACTATCAAAATCTGAAATATTTCAGAAATAACAAAACAATTTACCTGCAACATTACTATAGGGGTATGAATAACAAAATTGGAGATATAAATATAAGCTGTCTAAATAAAATAAAAAATAAAAAATTAGAATATAATTAGGCTATTTGAAATTAAACTCTTGGTTAACATTATCTCCTCTTTAAAAAGCTAAAAAACAATCAAAATACTAGATAGCTCCCCTAATCGTATAAGCAAAATAGCTTCGATATTTTTGAAAAGTAAAGCAAAAAATTAATACAATTAAAATCTATTAGTATTTCTCTGAAATAAAGATGTAGACTGTTATTCATTTGATATCTAAATAATAGTAAATCCAATGAATATTCACTGAGTTTTATTATTATTTAGATATCTGGTTCATATCTCTACTCTAAAAATAAATTACAGTATAAATTCTCATGATTTAGCAATCAAATCTGTATACTTATGTTTCAAAATTATGCAGATTTGATTACTGAATCACGAGAATTTTGGTTATAAAAAAATGTATAAGGATGCTTATTGACAAAGAAATATTATATATAATTTTCATTTCTTGTTCTTCTCTTTTGTGAGAAAAGTATAATGCAAACTATTGTTTGGTCTAATTAGTAATTTGATTAGAATCTTTAAATTAAATTTTAACTTGAAGTTAATTTGTCATAATAGATTGCTACTTTAAAAATGATATGTTCATTTTATATGTTCATTTTATTTTCCCCCTCCTTTCCTTTCAAGAGGTCTAGAAAATAATGTTAACTGAAGAATCAACTGCAAGTAGCCTAATAGTTAATTCATGAAATTCAATTTACTGAAACTTAAGCTAAATTATGTATACCTCTTGAATGTGTGCTAGGTTTGTGGTACAGTTTTAATAAACTACAAATTATATTTTAGTATTAGGTGCAACATTATATAATTAAGATAATTAAAAACAAATATCTGTTTTGTGAAAAAAATCGCTTATTTTTTGTATAAAAGTTTTTGTTAAAAATTTTACTATATGAACTACTTCTTTCTAACCCGTAACCCTAATACTAATTCTAACAAAATGAATATTAAAGAATTTTTGCTATACTATAAACTAGTACAAATTCAAGTAATACAAATTATGTGTTATATGAAATCACACAAAATTAGATTTTTTAATCTTCTCCAGTATTATTATAAAAATTTACTATCATATAACAGTATTGTAATACACAAAAAAACTTTAAGTTT